TAAAGGTGGGGGGGGGGGGAATATTGACTTGGCACATCTCCTTGACCAAGAAACTCATTTATCTTTTTTCTTATTTTTTTGGTTTTTCCCCCTTATGTTTCCCTTTATCTTATTTTAAAAAATTCAAAAGTTTCTAAATATTTTAGTTACTCTTATCTCCTTGACCTAGCTATAATTAATGTGATTAATTTGTCTTAACTGTATTAGTAAAAGCAAAAGGCCTCTTCCCCTCCCACGTCTAAAATAACTCACGTTTTTTCTTTTCTTTTTTTATTAAAGCAAAAGCCTCTCCTTTCCCATACCATTCTTTATTCATGCACGGTAATAAGTTTCTTTAATTTTCTCTCCTAATTCATTTTTTCAGTTTGTCCTTCATAATTCTTTTCTTTTCCAGTTTATTTATTTAGAATTGAGTTGATTTTTTCTTACCAACTTAACTCGGTTATGATCTCAACAACAACAACAACAACAACAACAACAACCCAGTATAATCCCACTTAGTGGGGTCTGGGGAGGGTAGTGTGTACGCAGACCTTACCCCTACCCTGGGGTAGAGAGGCTGTTTCCAAATAGACCCCGGCATCCTTCCCTCCAAGAACTTCCCACCTTGCTCTTGGGGAGACTCGAACTCACAACCTCTTGGTTGGAAGTGGAGGTTGCTTACCATCAGAGTTTCGGTTATGATCTCAGAAACTCTGATTTGTTTGAATATTGAATTGCTGATTTTTTTCTCTTTTTTGCCCTCCTTTTTTGGTGTTTGTTTGTTTGTTTGTAACTATCTTATATGTGTTGCCGATATGTAAATTTCGGATACGTAAGGTGTTTTTGTTACATTTTTTGGTGTCCATTTCTAATGAAGTGATCCAAGATGTGACTAATTATTATTTTTTTCTCATGATATTCTTTAAGAAATTTATATCTGTTACAATAATATTATAATAACTGATGTATAATATATTTGAATGTTATGTATTTATTTAGGAAGTTCTTTTGGAAATTAGAATTCAAAAAAAAAAAAAAAAACACCATCAAATTCGACCCTTTATGTTCTATCACAATGTTATAGAATTTCCTATTAAAAATCGCTTAAGATATTTCATTGAGGTTTTTTTGCTCAATCTCACGCTGGAGTATCTTTAGTTTAAAGTTAAAGTCCCAATGGGATTTAGTTCTTTTTTTATTTTCTTATTTTTTCTGATGACTTTAGATTATTTGCTTATGAAAAAGATTATATCCCTGTTGAGAATTTGGGATATTCATATATTATTATGATCTAGAGTGATGTGAGGTGAGACACTTTTAAGACTAAGATGCCTCATTTACCTTCTTATTTTTGCCATTTTCTCTCTTTTCATTTTAAATTGATTTGAAAAAATCATCCTAATAATGCTTTGACTATCTTTGGGTACATACCTCTACTATGCTTTGAATCTCTGGTTACCTCCTTTTATAATTATGTCTTGAGTCTTTTAAGTAGGGATGGCAATGGGGCGGTACGGGTGCGGGGCGGGGCGGGTTTAAACGTTAGCGGAGCAGTGCGGGTTTGAGATTTTGCGGTTGCGAGTCGGGGCGGGTTTAATTTTTAAATTAAAAAATATGCGGGGCGGGGCGCTGGTGGGGATTTAATTTTAAAAGGCTGTAGTAAAAAATCAAATTTAAGTCTAGCTTTCTAAAAAGAAAGAAATTTTATTAGGAAAACAAAATGCGGGTGCGGGGCGGGGCGGGTGAACGCAAGTGGAGTGCGGGGCGGGTGTATGCGGGTTTAAATCCTATGCAGGGCGGGGCGGGACGAGTTTAAATTTCGTGGGTTCAGACAGAACCCGCCCCGCCTGCCATTCCTACTTTTAAGTTACCTTTCTTTATTATCGGGAAGAAGAAGTAAGAAAATTTGTAATTTTTTATTTTTTTTAAAATATGCATGGGTAGATAGTACACAAGGAATAAGAAAAAAGGAAAAAATATGAAATAGGTAAAGAAAAGGAAAAATCAAAGGAAAAAAATTGCGCAAGACCATATATATAACTATACAAGTGATTCCATGGATTGGAATAGTTGGATTCTATTTTATCTCCTTTTCGTTTCATTCGTTGTTACCGTTGTTATTACTTTTACATAAATAGAAAAGATTAGATGCTATACAAAAAATCAAAAATCTCTAGAAGTCTAAACACTCTTAAGTGATAAAAAAAATTAGAAAAATAAGTTATAATAATAAAATGAATAAAAACATGAACTTTAATCTATCCGAATATGAAAATTGAAAAGAATCTTAGCATAGAAAGGAATAATTTTTATATATGATATTAGAAATACGTCTATCATCTAAGCTTTATATGGCCGCACGAAGCGCGGACAAATTTACTAGTTTTTTATATATTTATGATATCTACTCATACTTTTTATTAATTTTATAGATTACGGGAGGCTTCAACTAAGAAAAGAAAGAAGATAAGATACTTACGAGAATTAAATCTTGCACATATCTAATAAAAGTTACTTAACAAAACATTTTGATATGATAATAACTCTTTATTTTTTAACTTTTTATATTTGATAATAGAATATATGTTATTTTTATCATATTCAAGCTAACATTGAAAATATAAAAAACGTGTTAAGATCAATTAGTAGATATATTTCTTTCTGTTAATCGCGTGAATTTGAGCAAAATAAGAGGTAACACTATGATCAATAAAATAAAATTTTATGTAATTGAGAATTATGTGTTAGATATTGCACTATCAAAATAATATGACGTGCAAGCATTTGGTTCAAATAATATGAAACTTTATTTTACTTTAATATATTACGTAAAATTAATTTCATCTTGTTAAGGCGAAAAATTGAGTTTCTTATTTAATGAAGTTTCTAAACCCACATAGTTTTTAATTTTTTTATTTCGACCTACCTTGCCCCGTCCCGCATGTGTTTAAACCCGTACCGCCCCATTGTCATCCCCATGACCACGCTATATTCCCTACACCGTGATTATATCTTTGATTTTTTAAATATATGTTTTTACTTTTTACTTAGAGAGTGTGTATAAATATACGCATAAGCATTATTATAGTTAGAACTTAGATGTAAATATTGAGTGCAAATAAACGTAAAGCCAAGGTAAGAGATGATTAAGTATTATTTTTCTCCATCTACGACCTACTACCCTAGTGAGGTTAGATTAAATTCTCTACTTCATTTGTTCATTTCTTATTTTTCCATATTTTGAAAAGAAAAAATAAACCTTGGTGGATTTTTATAATTAAAAAATATGGCAATATTGTTAATTCGGATTCATGCAATAATGTCAATTCAAATGAAATAGAAAAATATTTATTAGGATTGCAGCAAATCTTCCTTAAGTAGTAAAATTATAATTATTTTAAATCACTACTTAAAACAAATCATTTTTTCCTAGACTAATTAGGTAGCTAATTTATTTCGAATCATCTAGAAAACATAATCTAATTACCTCTAAAGTATACAAATTCTCCTATATATAAGTCTATCGATCACCATTAGTGTTAAGCACTCCATTAGCAAATTCTTCTTAAAAGAAAAATGGCTTTCAAATTCAATTCTTTTCTTTTTGTGACTCTCTCAATTGTAGTAGTTGCTTCCACCTTCTCCTATGTTTCGGCTCGCGTACCGAATACTCTAGCTCTGTCCCCGTCAGTTGATGATTGGCAACCCATAAAAGATCTAAAGGATCCTAAAGTGATAGACATTGCAAATTTTGCAATAAAAGCGTACAACGATAAAACAGAAGGTTCTGACTTGAAGCTTAAGAAAGTGTTGAAGGGAAAATTTCAAGTAGTTGCTACTGGCATTACTTATCGATTGCTTATTTCCACCACGGACGAAGATTTCGCCGATGAGGATATAGCGGTTGTTTTTGAAAATTGTAAGGACAATGTTAGAAAACTCATTTCTTTTTTAAGTTTGCGTAACAATTAAGTGTTATAAGCATCTAATACCCATTATTTAAAGAATGAAATAGCTCAAATTTAATGTTTCATTTCGTATTGCTTATTTTTTGGCAATATTAGTTATGGGTTTTTCTTTTTCTTTTTTGAAGAATCTCATAAATCGTCTTCAAAGTATATGTGGACATTTTATCTTGTTCAACTTTTAAACGAGACAACATATATTTCAATTGCATTATTTTAATTTGACAATGCTGAATATATTCAAATCTTTTATATATAAGTACTCGGCCTTTTTGTGGCGATATATATTGCCACAAAAGCTCCAACAGTCCCCACTAAAAACAGTTAGTAGCGATTTTAAGGTCGCTCCAAGTACTACCGTTACTAAATGTTATTTGTGGCGACTTTTGAGAGTCGCAATTCCCGTAACCATTGATAAAAGTAGGAAAGTAAATATATGAATAAGTTAAGGAAATTCAATATCTAATTTATATATAAAAGAAAAATTTAACTTAACATACACACGATCCGGCCGAACCTCTTCCGTACACCTAGCCCCGACCCTTGCCCATAACACGAATTTAAAACTTTTTATTTTTGGTTTCCTATCCGATGTCTGATACTCGCAAAATATATTTGAATTCGCGCCGCGTAAGACCTTATTCGAAAAAAATGCTCCTTTCCAAAAAAATTTTCATACTCGAAACTCGAACCTGAAACTTCTCGGCGATGGAATTTAAAACTTTCGTAAAAGTGAAACCGCAAATCTTAGAAATTAAGTCACATGACAACTGTCGGTTCCCCACATACCTACCACCTAATTCCTTTAAATAAGGCACCCATTAAACTCTTTAACAACTTTTAAAAATAACCATTTTCCTCAGTATTTTCATTCTCAAAATCCTCACAATACAAAAATAAAAAGAAAAAGAAAAAATGACCATCAAATTGACCTCTATTTTCTCCGTGACTCTCTCAATTTTGTTAATTTCTTCATTTTTCTTCCAAATCTCCACCGCGTTGGGCGGCGCACCAGGTAGTTGGAAGCCTTTAACAGACGTAAATGCCCCTGATGTGGTGGCGATCGGGCAGTTTGCGGTGAATGAGCACAATAAAGCGGAAGGGACAAAGTTGGAATTTCAAAATATCGCGAAAGGAGAAACTCAAGTCGTTGCCGGCACAAATTATCGACTTGTTATCAACGCCAAGGACGGCGGTTCTGTTCATAAATATTTGGCTGTTGTTTGGGATAAGCCTTGGGAGAAAGTTAAGAAGCTTACTTCTTTCAAAAAAATGTGAGGTTCGTTTTTTCAGAACGAGCGTGATCTTATTATTAATACGAGTATATATTTTCGTGTTTTTTCGTATTTATATATAGTTGAATTATGTTTATGGAATTCGTCCTAGATCCGCCTCGTTGATTAATGAAGAAAAAATGAGAAAATGTGATGTTGGTGTATGTAGGGTTAGTTGTTTCTTTATGTGTAATATTTGAAGACTTGTAATAAAAGTAAAGATATGGTGTTTTGTTTCATTGTATGTGGCGTAATATATGGTTTACATTATTAATGTTGGAAGGATTTGCTTCTTTGCTTGTGAGATTAGGGTGTTATTACTTTTTGCTCGTGCTAAAATTATTTATATTCGGTAGTCAAAAAGTGTATATAACTTGTATAATTTTTGTATATAACATACAGAATGTATATATATATAAAAAATATACAAATTTTATATATTTTTTCGATTATTACTTTTACAACGGCTATAGAGTGTCATTTTTCATTTGAAATTGTTGATCTAAGGTTATTTTGGACAAGAAATTCAATTTGGAGTATAGTTTACTAGATAGACATATGAGTCACTTGAACATTATTATTGACTTGTCAAACACTCAATATATATGCATTTAAAATATGTAGAATGGATGATAATTTTAATTCTGTCTGTATGAGTTTCTCATATTATCGGTGTCTAGATCTAATAAAGGATGAGGACTTCAGTAGGTTAATATATAATCTAACATAAAATTAGTCAATTTATACTGAATCCTCTGTAATGTATGCATAGATGATGTCAACAAAATCATCTTCGTGGTGTGTCCCATTCGAAGATGATATTGTGCTAATCCACGAAACTAGTAAAAATAGTACGGGCTAGCGAGTTTTCGAACTGGTAATTGAAAAATAGCTAGCGTTTGCAAAGTTATTAAAAAATAGCCATTATTTTGATGAAACACAAAAAGTTCCAGCATAATATATTGAAGATTGGTGTACCTGTGTATGAACTTCCAACATATTATGCTGGAACTCCAACACACAAAAAGTTCCAACATAATATACTGGAGATTGGAACACCTGTGTATGAACTTTCAGCATATTATGTTGGATCGGTATATTATATTGGAACTCCAGTATATTATACTGGAACTCCAGTATTAGTATATTATGCTGGAATATTTTTCGGATTTTGAACAGTGTTTTCGTTCAGATTTATCTTTACATAAAAAGTGACTAAATTTCGATTATTATGGCTATTTTTTAATTATCACTCATAAATGTGGCTATTTTTTAATTTCTTCCATGAAACTAAGGGGTCGTTTGGTAGGGCGTATAAGAATAATACTAAATAAGGTGCATTAGTAATGCAGTGGTTAGTAATGCATGGGTGAGTAATGCAACATTAGTTATACAAAGATTATTTTTTATGCATTGTTTGGTGTGGTGTATTAAAAAATTAAAATGCATTGCATAATTTTTAAGAAATTTAAATATTTACAAAAATGCCCTCCATATTCTTTAACTTAAGAAACTTTAAGGATAATTTTGTCTTTAACCATGCTAATGCATGCATTAATAGCCTTTGTATAGCTAATGTCATGGTTTTTTATGCATTAGCTATACATAGGATAATACCAAATATAGTGTATAACTAATGCTTGAATTAGTTATACATAGGTTAAAAAAGTGTACCAAACAAAGCATTACTAATACACAAAGCTAATGCATGCATTATTTTCTCTAACACACTCTACCAAACGAGGTACTAATATATCGGCTCCTGTTGCTTTTTTGAGCCGAAGGTCTCTCGGAAACAGCCTCTCTACCCTTCGGGGTAGGGGTAAGGTCTGCGTACATATTACCCTTCCCAGACCCTACTTGTGGGATTATACTGGGTCGTCGTTGTTGTTATTGTTGACTCTACCAAACGACCTCTAAGGGTGTTAACAAGAGTTTGAACGCTATGGAACGTCACAAATATAGCTAGCATAAGAAGATTGAACTTTTGAAGTGAGAGTAATGGATTTAAGATGCCTAAATATAAATAATTTAAAGATATATAGGCTCGTCATTCAAAGATAAAATGGTATAATAGACGAAGATATTCAGGTAGAATTAAAATAAGTAATAATCCCATAGAGATTGAAACCACAGGGCATAGTCATAAATCAAGCCTTAAAAGTCCTCTCCTCGTGTGTAGGGGCGGGCATAGTTTCGACAAATCCGAAATCCAAACCGAAATTTGAATTTTTAAAATTTTTGGTTTGGATATTGGATTAGGTACTTCGGAGTTTTGGATATCCAAAAATCCAAAATTTTTATACTTTATATTTAGTCCATCATTCATATATCAGTAATAATAAGTTCGATACCCTATCCATTATATATTATCTCATATATTCAATATTAATTACTAAGTTACTATCCGAATATTTTCTATTTGGATATGATTTTACTATTGCTACTTCTTATCAGTCCTATTCATGTCTCTGTTGCATTCCCTTTATAATAATTTCATTACTTGAATACTTTATTTGGATGATTGCGGTGAGAATGAGTAACTTTTCAGACAATTTAACATGAGTACTTCATTTGGATATTTATTTTTTGTAAAAGAAGAAACATCTTAAAACTTATTAGCTCAAAATCGAAAATCCAAAATCTCGAAACCGATTAATCCGAAACCGAACTTAAAAAATCTGATCCAATCCGAGCTTATTTGGATTGGATTTGGATTGTCATTTCTTCAATCATAACACCAAAAATCCAAACCAAAATTTTAAATTCAATCCGAACTGCCCGAACGTGCACCTCTACTCGTGGCTCCCTGAATATAGACCTAGGGAAAAATTAATAGTAGGATATAATAGAAGACATAAACAGTGTGTGTATTTATATAATATTCATCCTATTCTTTTATTAATTCCTTGTCCTTGTATGCGGAATATTTGGATCTAGGGCTAATTTTATTGTCATGTGATTGAATGTGAAGATGTATGATAAAATAATAGTTACTAACAACTATTGTGGTGGGGTGGTAAGTGCTTTTTCATACTTAATCAGAGATTTCGGATTTAAGCCCTAGGTATGAAGTCGTTTTTGTTAAGGAGCGTTTTACTCCCAATGTGGGACTTTCCGGCATAAATTCGGATTTAGTCGGGTCCCACTATGAAAATCAGACACAGATGGGAAACCAAAAATAATAATTAAAAAATAATAGTTTCATTTGAAGTTGCGTGCATATTCTTTGGGGATCCCTCACAGCTAATTTATTTAACAATCTAGCTCAAGCAAGCCTTACAATTTGTAGTTTTCAAGAGACGACATGGAATATCAGATTTTAAAACGAAATTTTAATCGGCAGTCAAATATTTAAATACTAGTAATTTGTGGTAATATTCTCGTGAATAATAATCAGACTGGATATATATATATATATATATATATATATATGGGTTTTATTTGAATTTATTATTTTTAGCCTAAATCTGGATTTATTTGTGTAAAATTTGTTGGAATTGCTAAAATTATTGAACTATGAATTCATAACTCAAACAATGTGATGAGTTTAATGATTGGAACCTGAGCCTTAAACCCATAAAATTAAAATTTAGAATTCCTACTGACTGTGACACTAAATCGCGATAAAATACACCACTTGCAAATACTTTTGATTTAGACCAATGATGTGTAAATAAACTTTGACATATTAAGGATATCCATAAGCACAAATGAGGGCAGCTCGAATGCAAAAACATCTCGCATTTACGCAGGATCATGAAATTATTTCGAGTGGATTATATTCATTGATTCGATTCAATCAACCTCGAGTGCAATTAAATTTATTCCATCTAAAATTTAAAGTAAAGTCAATATTTCAAAGAGGTTGACAAAGGCATTAAAAAGAACCCAAAGTATATCCTCACTAGAAAATTTCGTAGCCAGATGGAAATGCAATAAAATAATAAATCTATGATTTTTCTAGCTAATCTAGTTGAAAATGACCTCATTCTTTTTAATTTCAAATTCAGATATAATAAATGAAAGAAAAAAAAAATCTTGATGTGTTTGGATATAGGTAAGGCCAAAAATGAGTGGCCAAGCTATAGATTGTGCATGTGACCTTCAAGGTGGAAAGGTATTTTGTTTAATTAGTTGTACCCAAAGTTGCAAGTGGACCAACAACTTAATATGATTGTGTATTCGAAATTTATTGGTTCGATTAATTCGAATTCACATTATAGAAAATTATCATGTGTTTTTATTCAAAAAAAAGAAGAAGTTCTTCTCATTTTTTTAGAATTGAGGGTCTATTGAAAGCAACATATATATCTTAATTAGGTAGGGATAAAATTTGCGTGCAGACGACCCTTCCCAGACTCAGTGGCGAAGCCACATGAATAGTAGTGGTCGATTGATCATCCTTCGTCGAAAAATTACAATGTGTACATAGGTAAAATATTACGTTTTAGAGGTATATAACACGTATTGAATACCCTTTATTGAGAAATTTTTTTACGTCTTTTAAATTTGAACATCCTTAGAAAAATATCTAACTTCGCCACTGCCCGGACCCTACCTATTGAGGATATACTGAATCTCTTATTGTTATTGTTATTTTCATCCCAAAAAAAGAGTTCAAAATTTCTAATTAAATACGAAGGAATCTTATCATTTAACCACACCTCTATATATTATATGATTTAACTCACTATAGGAAGAAAGAAAAAGGATACACAAAATTGATGTAAAGCAATGGTGGGAATAGACACAACTGTTTTTCATTAAAAGGACATTTTATATTGGATATCCCCACACTTCCATATAGTAGAGTGAAAAAGAAAGTTCCAAGTGTGACATGGAAAATAACATTGTCACATAATATTATAAATAAATAAATAAGAAAATTGGTATTTCTCAAATGGTAATCCTAGAAAAATCAAAATTTTGAAAATTGATGCATGAACTGTTTTGAAGTCTATATTAAGTATTTACTTATAACCAAAGCACCACTCTAATAATATCGTGAGCCTAACTGAATTCAATCCATAAATCCGAAAAAAAAATTAAGTTCATTCCCTTTTATTCGTACTATACATTTGTTAAGGTTAGAGTGGTAGATTTTATCGCATACAATTTCAGATTGAAGTTAAACTATGCTTGTTTAGATAGTTGTAATTTTTTTAGGGGTGTGTTTGGTATAACGGTAGAAAATATTTTCATGGAAAATGAGTGGTTTTATCATTTATCTTCCCTT